AATACTTTGAAAAGCGTTATGAACAGATCAGAGAATCTCCAGTTATTCATTCCTATATTAAATATATCTTACTGAATAAATTTGTTTATTATTTGAAAGTTATGTTTTATTAAACTTTTTGTAAAAATATGAACTTTTAAATTTATTTATCTACTTATGTACTAAATCTATTTATTTAAAAAAAATTATTTTTTTAGCAACCTTTGTACACATGTACAGAAGTGTAAGTTTACCATTTAGTCTGTGATAGAATATATGATACATTTTTCAATGTCAATTAAAAATAGCATTAGGAGTGTTTATGTATACAATATATTAGGATAACACCTTTGAAGAAATCACTATCTATCCAACTGATTATATACATTTTGATTAAATGACTAAATATGCATTTACCCAGTAGAGCATACCAGTAGGGATTATTCTCTATAGATAAATACTGACCTGCCAGAGATACTAGAACAGCAAGAATCATTGAATTTATATTGTAACAATTTACATTTTTAGCTCTCACATTGCTTTATTGCTTTTATAGTTAATGTCACTGTTTCTGGAAAGAAAACAAAAGGACAAATACTGCAATCAATTTTTGATGATTTACAAGCAAGGCTGAATATTGGAATGTGTTAATTTTGTTGCTTCATGAAAACTATAGTAAAAGTATTTTAAGATTACTAAAAATATCATAATCATCTTTGAATGATAACATATCTTTGCTAACTTAAGTTCAAGTTATTCATTAATAAAATAAAATATATCTGCTAATTTAAATTGAAAAAATAAAATATATAAAGAATCATTAACAATTTTTACAGCAATTTTTTCTTTAAGATATTAAGAACACATTTTTTTAAAAAGAACATTTGACTCATAAAAGGAAAAATAACTATAATTAGTTAAAACAATCATGTTTGTCATATCTTCTTTTTATAGTCAAAGGTAAAAAGGTTTCTTCCAAATGAAAGAGAAATAAATTGGTCACTCAAGCAAATACCTAAAAAAGGCACACCAAACAAAGGAGATTCAAGTGGTCAAGTCAGTCAATCAACAAAAGTGTAGTGAAAATAACTAAAGCACTGACATTTTCTCTGCAGTAGCAACAATGAATAAAGTCTAATGTTTAATTAAATGTTTTGGGATTGTTTTGTATATAAATAGCTATATCACCTCATTTTGATATTTCATATAGAAAACGCCAAAGGATCACATTTTGTAAAGCAGAATGTTAATAACATAAATAATGGCAACTAACACATTTATAAGCATAAAAAAAAATGAATCCTCTTCCCATACCAACTATATCCTATGTGGACTTAGATAAAGAACTAATAATATTTACAGATGACAATATTATAATAAAAAGAGTTTCAATCAAAGGAGTACACCCATTAGAAATGCAGAAATTGTTCAACCTTTTCTCCACCTTATATAAGGATATGAAATCCTCTTACATGTCACCCTGACACCCAAGAAGATCTTTGTCTACCTCAAAAAAAGGCTTAAAATTTCAAGACCCAACCTTCTGTTCCCTATTCAAGGTTTATAAAGCAAAAAGCCAAAACTCTACACGGTGCCTTCCTAGTTCCAACAATCTGTGATTCAAACAGGGGTAATGGCTCTCTTTTTTCCTTCAGCAGCATCCTGGTGAGGGAATAATTTTACTGTGGTTTTTCTGTGGGGTCCTGCCTCTTTATCTAAAAGGAAATGAATTACAACCGGATGACAAGACCACACAACAAAGCCATTTAGTTTTACAAATCTATTATGTCCGCCAATCGTTTTATGGGCCTGGTCCTATTAGAAACCAAGAAAAAACCCTCAAACAAACTTTCTTCCTTTTCTTTATTTCCATTGAAAGCATCTACAATTTTATGATTGTTTTTCAAACAGTTCAGCACCCCCCCTCAATTTTTCTCCTCATGTGGTGGTTTTTTTTTTCTCCCTCAGAGTCCCTCCATCCCACTTCCTCAAACATACAAAACATTCAGAGACAAGAAACTGGACTTTTCAAATACAAACTGCTGACAACTGTCAGAAGCACTTTACTGGGACATTACTAACTGTAGCTTCAATGAATTAAGCTTGATTCACTGCGGGTGAATCATTTTCAATGCAGAGTTGTTCAGCAGTAATTGGCCAAGAATCCCTGCTGCGAAAAGCACTTGTCAAATAATGCTTGTTTACAAATATATCTCCCAACAGCAAAAAGTGGCAGTTACTAGATAAGTTCAAGGCCACCTCCAATATTCATAACAGTGGACATGCTTCCTTTATTTACTAAATCTACTAAATTTTTCACTTGTTGACACACTTGCTAATATTTGTCCTGCCTGATCAATCTTAGAGAAATGTTTTGCCTTATATATGCCTCTGAATTATTCTACAATAAAAGTCTTGTGTATTATACTGTAGCTCAAAGGTTTCTTCCACGTTTTCATGCCTAACACGTATAGTAAGACAACTAAAGATATATTGACCGTATCAGAGAGTTCAGGCTAAAGAGTAAATTTTCTTCTTATTTCTATTACCCAGTGTATTTGAACATTTATTTCATATCAGCCCAAGATTCTAGATATAAATTTGACTTTTTCTGTTCAATTTTGCTGATTTGTCAACCAAACTTAAATTTTAAACATGACTGGAGTACCAATTATACAAGTAAACTTCCATTTATTTACCTGACTTGAATTTTTTCATCACATAATGGGAACATACTCATATATGATGGATATATACACTACAGTCTGAGAAGTCACAAAGCATCTATAGGTTTCAGAAAGCACAGTACAGAACAAGTTTTTAAAGGAGTCAGTGCACACATAAAATCTTTCTTTCAAAGTTCCTTCAGAAACAATCAAAAGCAAACTTGAAAATTCCAATCTGAACCTCTAAAAAAATAAACTGCTCTTATAAATATCTTATATTCTTGTTCTTTGATTAGAACAGCAGCATCATGGAGAAACAAAAAGAACATATTAATAAATAGTAAAGGTCTGGCATTACACTAACAGAAAACTGTTGGGCAGAGAAGGGATGAAACAGATGAAACATACAAATATATACATACATACATATATATGTACATGTAAAATAACAAAATTTTATTTGTAATTGTGTAAAATAGTGTAGTTACAAAATGTGCCCCAAACAACAGACATGCTTTTATTTCTAGTGTCTTCAGAACACTGGTTGGTAAAGTACCACTCACTGTTGGTTAGACCCCTGCCATCCCCATCTCACTGACGCCCAAGTTCTGCTGTTCCACTCGCTGGGAAAGGAAAGCACAACCTGTGGGTATTAAGTCCGTGATATCAGCCCGTCTACCTTCCACAAGACTCCAGGTCCTCTTAGAACACCACAGAAGACCCCGCTTCCCTCCATTTCCTTTTGCCTCTTCTCTCTGCAGTCTGGCCCCTTACTCCCATTTAGCGCCACCCTCCCGGAGACTTCATTTCTTCCCTTTCCCTAACCAAGAGCTACTACTCCTTTACACCTCTGCATAAGCCCCTTCCCTCATCATACCTAAGGGGGGGAAAAGGAAGAAAGAAACGTAAGGAGAACACACGAAAGAATAAAATGATATTACTATTACTCTTTAAATCCAGAGCAGGTCGCCCCTTTCAACAGAGTAAGACACTTAATAAAAGGACACCTAACCCTGTCATAATTCTCCGGGCTTCTAACATATCAGGACACGACTTCAGAAAACACTTTTTCAACTTTACCAGGGAGGTTAAAAATGCAGACTTCTTGTGTTAAGCATGGGGTATTGTAGGCAGGTAAGCAGATGGCTAGGTAGGCAGAGAGACAGATGGATTGATAGATAGACCGCGCTACATATAACCCCTAAATCAGATTTTTTAAAACAAATTTGGAGGGTAAAGACAGAAGCTCATGGGGTGGAGAGAGGAGGATCGATCCTTCCTGTTTTTCACACGGTTCCTAGGGAGCTGGCAGCGCTCCGAGACCAGCTCAGCCCCTTTCCCTACAGCCAAGGCACACACAACCCGTGCAAGTCACGAGGACACACACGACCCCGCCGCTGCTGCTTCATCTTTCCGGTCCCGCGTCCCCTGCCCCACGAGTGGAAGGAGATTTTTAAGGTTCTGTGCCTCACTCGAGGCATCCGGGGCTCCAAATCGAAACCCCAACCTTCCCGCCGAGGTGGTAGGTTTTTGATGTTTTCGTGGTGGAGCTGACCACCCAGACCCCATCTTCTCTTAACCACATGGGATCTGAGATGCTGCCCCCACCTTGGAGGGCTGCGCGGTCCGGGCGCGGGAGAGGACCCGGAGGCCGAGGGCGGCGAGCCGAGCGGCTTGAGCTCAGAGCCGGGAGCCAGGAGCGCCGCGCAGGTGCCGCTCCCGGGCCGGCCCTACTCTTCGCGTGCTAGGCGGGGACAGTCTTCTGGGTCCGGAGCGCGGGATGGGGGATAGGAGGGAGAGCTGGGGACTCTAGGATCCCGAACGGAGATTTTCCCTTTCGGAAACGTGAGGGAAACCCGATTCGGTGGGTTCCAGCATCACCTTCCAGGCGGCGACACTCCCCTCCCCCGAACCCTCCGCCTCCAGCTGCATCCCACCTTCCAGACTTCTTTCCATTTCGTCTGGGCGATCACACGACCCTCAAAGTGCGGCACACCCCCACAGTGTGAGGCGCTGTCCGTCCTTCTCCATCCCCCCTCCGGCGAGAAATAAAAGCTCTTACCACCCACCCTAGAATAGCAGCTGGCGATGCCCTAAATAACAGCTCCCAGAAGGCACTTTACCCCAAAATAAAACCATCCAGCCACCCCCACCACGTTCCCCATCCCCAGCCACCCCCACCACGTTCCCCATCCCCAGCCCCAAATAACGGTTTCTAAAAGCCCCACCGCTCCCGAGATCCCCGTCACTGCGCTTCAAACAGTTCCCACTCCTAAAAGCCCGAAATGCCACTTCCCCACGCGCTTCAAGTGGGACCCAGCCGCACCCAGCCTCCCGGCGCGGGTTCGGCTCTACCTTCGTTGCTGGGGCTGGCCAGGAGGGTCCGGAGCGCGGCGCACAGGAGAAGGCAGGTCCAGAGGGGCGCCCTGCGAGGTGCGGAGGAGCAGCCGGCCAGGGACGCAGAGGTGCTGGGGGGCCGCCGGCGTCCCGCGCCCCGGGGCCCCGAGCCCCGCATCTTGTCTCGCCGCCTCCGCCGCCGCTGTCCCGCGCCGCTCAGTCCACGGCTCTCGCCTTGCGGAGGGCGCGAGAGAGGCTCGCGGTTCCTCCCCGTTCCCCGTAGGCTCCTTCACCTTCGGGCCCGCGGCTCGCCCCAGTGCGGGGACCGCGGGGCTTCCCGGACTGCTGAAGTTTGCTTCCGGAGCCCCACACCCTCCTCTCCGCTGGGGTTAAATGAAATACTAGTGACGGCGGACAGTGCAATTCGGGACAGGACTCGAGGGTGTCGAGAAGGTCCCGCGTCCCGTTCTGTGCCTCTTTATAGACTTTTAAGGATGAAGGTCTTTGAAATGCCACTGGAGGGAGGGGAGGGGGAGATAAAAGCTCCTTTTCAGTCTTCAGGGCTGAAATGGACGAAGGTGAGGAAGACAAGTCATCTTAAGTCAAGAAGAAATTCTCGATAAAAAAGAGGAGAAAAAAAGCAGGGTGGCTAAGAGGAAAGGAAGAGGAGTTGGGGAAAAGACAGGGTGGGGGAAAGACGAGCAAGGCGAGCGGAGGAAAAGATCCGGAGAGTTCAAAGACGCCAGCAGAAGGAAAGAGCTGCGGGGTGAGCACTGACGAGCGAGGGACCGGCGGCAGCGGCGGCCCGGAGCCCGGGGAGGAGGCGGCGTGTGCGCGGCCAGGCTGGCGAGCTCGGAACTGCACCGCCACAGCGCGCTCCTGCTGAGTCTGGAGCTCCGGCGTCTCCTCGGCCTCCCGCTCTGCGCCTGCCACCCTCCTCCCGCCTCCTCCTCCGCCCGGCTCCCCCGCCCGCGGCGGCTCGCAGCCTCGCCAGTGAGAATCTACTGTAAGTGCGAGCTGCTTAGACGGAGTCCCACACCCGCGGAGGGAAGTGATCTGGCGGCTGCCGCGGTGAGTGTTGCCTAGCGGTGTCGGGAGAGGCGCGTCTTCCTCCGCGGATAATTAGGGCGAAGAATTCTCCTGACGACGCCTGCCAAGACCCGGGATCCCCGGAGGCTGAAGGGAAACCAGCCCCAATTCAGCAGGCAGCCTTCAGAGGAGCGGGGCCCTGGGTTTGGCCAACTGCCTGCTGCCCACCGCAGGCTTGTGGCATCAACAACCTTGTCACACCGCCCAGCATTCCTAGGCTCTGCGAGTCCGTGGCTAGTTTATTTAACACCCTTAACCGCTTACTGCTACTGACCCGCTCTATTCTTTCAATACTTTGGCGGCTGGAATGAGATAATTAGTCAACGTTTTCTTCCAAGTAAATGGCAGACTGTCCAAATACAGAGACGGTAGCTACGATTGAGATTTCAGGGAGGCAAGGAATTTGGCGATTGAGAATTGTGGTGTGCCGCGTACTTTAAGAAGTGATGATTTAATTCATCAGTCTCACTGATGGAGTGTTTTATGTTTTAGGAATTATATGATATGCAGATTTATGAAATTAATTCCAGTGAAAATAATTTCTTGTGTTCTGCTGCATTGAGACACAAATAATTTAGAAAAACTGTTGAAAGCAATCAACTTTCCATGTTTCATCTCTATTATGTCTACTCTTGCTTTATTTTTCTTCAAATTTCTCATAATTTTTTTCAAAAAGGTCCATCTGAAGAGCAGTTCTAGTATACTAGCATTAAAAAAAAGACTGCGAATAAAACTTCTACAAAAAAGTGTGATTTTAGAAGGAAAGATATCTCATTTAATTTGGTTCATAGTAACTACTGTAAAGACTGGGTTTTCACCCACACCCAAAAAAGGCAGGTCTGCTCATCAACTTTAATATCCAGCGCCTTGTTTGTATTCACAATAAATTTCTCATAATGATTAGCTGATGACATTTGTTTTTTGTTTAAATACTTGCAATAAAGATGAATGAATAAAGCGGCGGTGATGCAATTTTGGAAAGAGGTGGAAGCTCATCTTCGATTATTTTTTCCCCTGAAATGTTATGGCACCAGAAATCTAAAAACAGCTTCTTTCTATTAAAACGTTCTCCAAATGATTGAAGCAAATTTAGAGGAATGTCAGTGAATCATTCTTTCAGTTGGGCAAAAAGCTTCACAGTGAGATGCAAAGTTAAAGTCTATGTTTGTATTTGAAGACCACTGAGAATGTAAGCTCCTCCCCCTAAATTTATAGTTGAGCTATTTAAAAATATCCAAACAGACTATCAAGGAAGTTATCTAAAGTCAATGAACACATCATAATGTTGTGCGTGAAACATAGGCACTTGAATGGGCCTTTGAGTTTGTTTTACTTCTTCAGGATTTGTATCCAGTAAAATGAGGGATTTGGAGAAGATGATCTTCAAGTTCTCTTCTCTTCCTTTGTCCTGTATCTTCTCTTTTTCTATTCTTGGCATTTCTGTTACTATTCTATTCATCTGCCTCCAATTATTTACTTTTGACTGCAAAATTACCAAATTTCTTCAGCCTTTCTTTGAAAACCTTCTACTCCAAAGAGCTTAAACAAATTTTCTATTTTATTTTACACTAAAATTTTCAATTCAGTATTCCCTAAAATGTCTCATGCTTCTCTGCTTTTACATCTGGCACTCCGTTCTACAGAAGTTTCACCTCCTAAAAATGTTTAACATTTCCCAAACCTCTTCCCCTCACACACATCTCTCATATAAAACCCTGCTCAGTGTCCAAGGAGAGTCAAACATTCAAGACTGATGTTTTCTCTTCTAAGAAAGAAATGATTTGGTTTTCCTCCCCCAAATATCCATAGCTTATGTTTTATGTCAGTCAACACAGTGACAATACTTCCTGAATGAAAAACCAGAACAAATTATCTAAGTATTCAATATATATATTGGGATAAAGAGAGTTTAGACTAGGTATGCCAAAGAAAACCTGAGACATTGTTCCCTAAGGTGGGAATTATGCTATCTTCTCCTTAAGGGGCTGAGAATACAGAATGCAAAATCCTTTGTATTCTCTACCTTAAATAGCAGCCATCTTTCTCATGATTGTTTAATAGTATTTATTACATATCTTTGAAAGAATGAACAGCTGTAACATGAACCCCAGTGACAGAAATGAAAGCCATTTTTTTGTCTAATGAAGGTTAATCAGAGAAGACAATGAGAGTGCTTTCTCTTGGGCCTCAGTCTCAAAGGAAATCTTATATTTGAGCATGTGTTGATTTCTTCACTTAGAAATACTCAGCATACTTACATTGAATGGTGACACTGCATGAAAATTAGTTTTTGTTTTTGTTTTGTTTTGTTTTTTACTTCATACAACTGCTTTGCACAAGAAAGGCAATGATATTTGCACTTCTAATTGTTCTGGATAACTGCTATGGCCTCTAAATGGTGAAAGTAACTGATGTCAACCCAGATCACTGCTTGAATCTGACTTTTGTTCTAAGCTTCCATGAAAAAAAAAAAAAAAAAAAAAAAAAAAAAAAAAAAAAAAAAAAAAAAAAAAAA